TGTATAGGGGGGGGGGGGAATAAGAGGAGAGTGGAAAGAAGGAAGGAGACGGAGCGGCGCCGAGGAGACCCGCCGGCGGCGGCGGCTACTGCTGCTCTGCCGCTTCGCTTCTCAGCCCGCGGAAGAGGAAGGGAAAAGTTCGCGCCGGCCAGCCGCTAGCCCTGCGAACTCCCCGCTAGTTATCCCTCTTTCCCAGCACGCCCACTCCGTCGCGAGCCCCTACCGGGGCCTTTTCCCTCTCTCTTCCCCAAGCATAGTGCGGAGAGGATCTTGAGCGAGCCTCTGCCGAGCTGCAAAGGGCCGCCTCGCAAGTGTTGCGCATCGAAGTGAGCCTTTGCTGAAGGGCGTTCTCGCAAGTGGAAGGTGTCAAAGTGAGCCCCTGCTGAGCGGCACACGGGGCTTTCCCTCCCAACTGTGCCGAGAATCAAACCGAGCCGCGGCAGAGTGCCGTCTTGCAAGTGTTGCTTCTCGAGTCGATCTTTCGCTGAGCAGTGGAGGGGCATTCTTGTAAGTGTAAGGTACCAAGGGGAGCGCCTACTGTGCTGTGCTGACCTTGCCCTCTAAGCACAGGGATCCCAAAGGCGGGTGTCAGACTCTTCCGCATTCTGATTTTCATCACTTGTGTGTTCCTGTTGCTTCTGGTCCCCCCCTCCCCCCCTTGTGTTTTGCTGTCTCTAGTAGTCCCAGAGGGAGCAAAACACATGTGGAAAGGGGGGGGGGACCCAAAACAATAGGGACAAACGAGTGACAAAAATGAGAATGCGGAAGAGACCTTTAAAGTGAGCGGCAGAGGTCTGCATCGCATATTGAATCGACCATTAGCTGACCAGTTGAGTGCATTCTTGCAAAAGTAGGGTCAGAAAGGGCCACTGCCAAGCTGCTCAGGGCTGTCATGCAAGTGTTGTGTACCAAAATGAGCCTTTACTGAATGGTGGTGGATGTTCTTGGAAGTGTAGCATGTCGAAATGATGCCCTCCAGAGCTGCAGGGGCCTTTTCTGTGAGGGTATTGATCTTGGAAGTGTTCACATCAGCACAAGTCTACGGAAATGTAGTGTACTTTTTTGCAACTTTGCATGTAGTCAGCCCCTACTGAGCTACAGTGCATTTCCCCCTGCACATAATACTGCATGCACACCCAAGTAATTCTTCCAGAGTCTTTTTTTTTGTGTGTGTCCACCTGTATAAACTTCAGCCCCTGCTCCTTTGTATGTTTATGTTCAGATGTGAATTCCTGTTTATGCTCAGATGTGAATTCCTGGAGCCTTGTTTCCGGGGGTAATAATGGGTGCCTCCATAATCGCATATCTGCCTGTCAGTAAATATGCACAGACTTGGAAGGAACCTTGGAGGTCATCTAAACTGACCAAGAATGGACTACAACAATCAAACAGCCCTGGAGCAAGCTGACCCAAGTGGTCCATGCAGCACCATAGGATCTGCTAGGCTCAGACCTGGGAGTGGCAGTGATTCCAACAAGTGTTCGCATCATTGCCATGGGCTGGGTCTGTTTGCTTCCTGAATTGTAAGGATCACTTCCGACTTTTTTCTGGTCGTCAGTGGCCCTCCAGAGCACCGACCCACTGGGAAATTTCCTTGTAAACTGGCAGGCTGGTCCCCCAGTGAGTCCAGTGCCCTGCTCCATTCAGGAATAGTCAGTTTAAATAGGATTCCCAGGATGGCTTACCAGGGTTCCTGCATCACATGTCCTCCAGCCATTTTACCATAGAAGACTGCAGAAATAAGGTAGTCTGGATCCTGTTGATATCCTTATTCTGAAAACAGACTGCACGCAGTAGGTTATACTTCCATGTAAGTCATGCCGGCCACATGACCACGGAATCGTCTTCGGACAGCGCTAGCTCTTCGGCTTTGAAACGGAGATGAGCACCGCAGCCCTAGATTCGGACTCGACTGGCTTTCGAGCAAGGAAACCTTTACCTTTTTAAGCATGCTGGAAGTCCTGAGTTCAGTGGGACTGTGTTGTTGAGTAGACATGCATAAAGTTGCGTTGCATCTCTGCTCTATTCCTACAGATTTGGCTGGACTCTTTTTTTTTTTGATGGGCAAGGAGGGAGGGGGGAAGTGAGAGGGGACATCCAAAACTACTCCCCTTTCCCTCTCCTATCTTTAATTCCCTGCCCCAAAGTGAAACATTGATTAATCAAGAATAATAAAAACCAGTGATTCTGAACTCTCAACTGCCAACATTGGTCAGAATTCATCCACAAGTACTTGTTGAAAGGATGTCAAAATTATTCTTTCTTTTTTTTAAGTACCCGTTAGGTACACTTTTATTATTTTCCATATAAATTATTTTTTAGCCATTCTGGTTTGAACTATGACAGCAATGCTTAAGATCCAGTTGTGTCACAGTAATAATTCCAGAGAGGTACCTATTACATGCAGCTGTCAAAGTGGTCTGTAGTCCACAAAAGCCTTATGCTAGTATAAAAATCTGCTAGTCTTCAAGATGTCACAAGATTTCCAATAGTGTCACAGTTGGCGATCTTGATTATTTGTAGCCTCTAAGCTAATGTAGAAAGGAGGGTGGGGAGTGGGAAGGAATCTGCTTGCACTCTTATCTACTTTGATTTTGAATGTGAAACGGATACCGGAGGTTTATCAATCCACATTAAGTTTGCAATCCTAAGGATACTTTTCTGGCAGTAAGTCCTGTTGAATAACATGGGGCTTCCAAATAGACCTGCTTAGGGTGGCTTCCTAAGTGACATGTTCCCCACTTAAGGATACTATACCTCTCTAAACCCTTCTGTATTCACTCGAAGCAATTTGGTGGTGGTGGTCTGTTCCTGGAAGAGCATTGACTGTGTATTTGACTTGCATTTACTGAAGATCACATGGATTAGTTATCCTGCTAACTACCATTGCACTTGGTTAAAAAGTACATTTTCCACTGCCTTCCAATATCTTTTTAGATGCTATGGAAAATTCTAAACATGTCTCTTTGGTGATTATCTGTACAGAACAGTGATTGTTTCATGTTAATCCTGTGTTAAATGACTTCCCTTGTGTATCATGAGGTTAATGTGTACTAGTTGCGCCAATGTACATCAGATCAGCTTTTTTTGTCCATATATGCCCGATAACCAGGAGCACACACTGGTGCTTACAGTTAATTAGTTAAGAATACCAACTCTTTTCCATTTGAGAGGAGTTTGCATCTAATGTTTATGAAAACGAACTGTGTTTTCAAGTGCTTTATGTTGACATTAACTTTCCCCCCTTACTTCACATTTTTATTACTGTTGTAGCAAGCAGCATACTGTAAAAAGCCCAGTGTAAGATGGCAGCTTAAAACACAGCATAGGAGAAAGAGTAGCAGTTAACTCCCAGTTCATTGTTTACCATAAAGGTGAACTAGTTTGCCACTTGATTGTCAGTTGTTACAGATTATTGTAACTTAAAAAAAAAAATTAACAAAAGAAGGCACTTTACCACTGATTTGCAGGGGTTTCAACTCATTCCGAGCAGGCACACAGCAGCTATGCGCCCTCAGCTTTGCCAAAGACATAAACCTCTTTTTAAAAACGGGAATGGCAAGAGCAGCATTTTAAAAGAAATTTAGTTAGCGCTGTATTTATTTCCTGCACAGAATTGGACCAATACAATCACAAATAGACCAGCACCTATGATAACTCACTATAAAGGACCAAGGCAGCATAATGTTTTCAAAATTATTTAATAAAAGTTTGATGTTTTCTAAGGTAATCCAAATGTTTATTAAATCTTTCAAAACTAGATACCAGAAAGCCTTGTATGCTTCACAGCTTCACTATTAATGAAACTACCATTCTGACCACACCTTTTAGCACTTGTCTGCAGCCCTTCTGAAGAATATATTTAATTCTGCATAGCATTAAGTCCATAAACTCATGATTTTTGACACTTCTTAGCAGAGTTGGTTTTAAGAGCTTTAGTAAGTGAAGTATGTTTCTGCTACTCAGACATAATGTACTATTTTGTACTTTCAGGGCGTGCTCTTGTGAACATGTCACATCTTCCATGTAGACAGTGTTTTTCACTGGAGCTTCCTGAATCTGAACCACATGTGGTTCCTTCTAGTTCCCATTTTCATTGCATACTCACCATGTCCAGCTAATTGCTACCATTTATTGCATTGTGTGCTACTGATGCAGTTAAAATACAATTTCAGTCTGTTGCTTTTAGGCTGTAGCAGTGGACAGGGACTCTAATTGTTGATGCTGAATTCAAAATGTGTTTCTGTGATCCTTTCTGAGTGCCCCCAAACTGACTTCAGATGGAATAAATTCCATGTATTTTCCTGTTCTCCTGTGCCTTGAACTCTGTGCATGGATGCAGCTGTGCATCATGAACATTTTAGTTGTATGTGCAGTTATAGCAGTTTCTTATTCATAATATGGATGGGATTGGGAAGCAGCTCTACCTCCTACCATCCCCATCATCTTGTCAGAGTGTTTCAGAATGCATGCTGCAGTTCTTTCAGGTAAAATTTACTAATTGTAAAGTATTTAATGCCTCTCCCAACTGTGAACACTTTTAACACTGTCTCTTTCATGGGATCTGAGGATTGACTATCTTCTCTGTGTCTTCCTGGTGGTATTTGTTTGAACTTCACTTTTTCATGGCCACAGTTCCCAAACCTTGTGTAGCTCTTCTCAAATATTAAACTTAGAAAGAGCAGACCAGCTTGTGCATGAGCAATATCTCTGTCTCCTCTTCACCCCTCTAATTCTTCTGCCTGCAGTCTTCCAGTTTGCAGCCTGAATGCTTTGTTCACAGTTAAAGCAACAGTAGACAAATAAGGTGGGAGACATTGTGTGGCTTCTAAAATGTTGAATTTTTCTTCATTCAAGGCTTGTAATTTTTAAAAAATTTCTTTGGGAGAGTGCTACATTGTTTTACTGCATGTTGTTTGGAGTACTATCTGAGCTCAGCAAAAGGCTCACTTCGTACTTCTTGTCCTTATCTTCTACATAGATATTGTAAAGCAGGAAGGATTCACTTTTTGATTTGGCTTGTATACTTTGCAGATTAAATATACTGGCTTCAGGGACAGACCACATGAAGAAAGACAGGCCAGGTTTCAGAATGCCTGCCGGGATGGACGGTCTGAGATAGTGAGTATCTATTGTTATATACTACGCTTTAATGAAATGCATTTAATTGTTGTGTTTTCTCTCATTCTGTTTTCCTGGATACAGCTAGGAGGCATAATCAGTCTTATTTCAGACAAAGAGTAACAATTGGATAATTAGAAACCATTCTGATTCATTGTGCTTGCATTCCAGTATGAAATTAATATTCTAAACTTCTTGTTCTGATCTGCTGTCTTTACAAACATGGGAAAGTATAGAATAAGTACACCTAGGTCTATAAATTTGGGAAGTCAGATCACGATGCAGATAGATAACTTAATCATAGTTCTGTAAAATAACTGCAGATTTAAGGTATACTGATTAACTGATACATATACTGTTTATTTTGAAACGTATCTTTTTCTGTAGAAGAGGTTATCAAAACAGTTATGGGGGAAAGTCTCGAGTTGCTGACGTACTAATTGGGGATAGTTAATTGGTCACTCAGTCTCTGTCTACGTTTCCCCGAGTAAAGCTTATAGTACAGAGGATGCCTGAGCTGTTGATAGCATCTGTGCAAAAGTTAATTTTTATCACCCTGCCTATTCATTTGTGGAAGGCCTGAAAAAAACAGCTGTCTTTCAGTTTATAGAAATCTCCCTACCTGATTGCTTTAGGGTAGTTCATTTTAGCCACAGGTAACTGAATGAGTTGTTTAGATCCCTGACTAGACTCCCTACATTTTTGAAATGGTGGTGTTGCATGTTAAATTCATCATCGTTTTATTTATAAAGTGCCCAGCAGTGTCATCCTAAGCAGAATTAAACCTTTCTAAGTCAGTTGAAGTCTGTGGGCTTAGAAGGGTGTAATTTTGCTTGGGGTAGTACTGTAAAACTAGGTAATCTACGTAATATGTTTAAGAAGAGGATAAAATTAATAGCCACTTTAGTATTAAAAGGAGTTAGAAATGAACTAAGTAGGGGTTAGTTATTGAGAGGCATTCATAACTGCAGAACAGTGTGTCAGCGGGAAAACTCCTCAAAACTACAGTAAAAGCGCAGTCCTACATGTGTCTGCTTAGCAATAACACAGTATTCAGAAAAGAGTATGTAGGCTTGCACCCTTAGTAACTCTGTGCAGGAAAATTAAAAGTACAGTTAAGTAGTTCGCATTCTAGCCTGGCCATAATTACAACAACAAAGAATGTAGTTCGATACTAAAAACCTTTTGAAGGCAACAAGCCCATTCCAACTGCTGTAGCACATTAGTTTTAAGTTTTACAGATTAAAATGCTTGTTTCTTTTGAGTGTGGTTACAGGATGTTCATGTCTTAGAAATATGTTATGACAGAGAGAGATTGCTCACTTCAGTGGACTGTAATGTGAAACTACTGGATTTTGGTGTACTTTAAAAAAGCTGCTTGGAACATTATTTGATTATCAGTTCTTGCATGAAGCCCATACACATTAACTGATGACCTGTGATTTCATTTTTTAGCAAAACGTCTTAGGAATCCTCCATTGTTTCCAAATATGTTGTTTTTGTACACCCCAGACTATATGTGATCCAAATAACTGTGATTCTTATATCTGTTTGTTTTTGAGGTTATTTGTAATGTTCTCAGTGTACAGATTTTCAAGGTGTCTGATGAACATAAAATATAATAAAATCAATACACAATAAATAATGAATATTAATTCTTGGTGATAGAAGAAGTAATAATTTTAAACTTATCAGCCAGCAGCTTGCAAAATTTAAAAAACATTAATACTGTAAGCCAGTATAAAACTTTAAAACCAGTAAAACAGTTTTTTAAAAAGCATATAAGAACACAAGACCAATATAAAAAGAGGTAGTTTAACAAACAAGAGTAGGTTTAGCGTCATTCAGATAAGTCAAAAAGCAGTCTGGGTAAAAGTTAATGTTTTCCCCTGGCGCTGAAAACTCAACATCTTGGTACCAGCCAAATAACTATGGGAAGGGCATTCAGAAAACAAGGTGCCACGACTGAAAAGGTCCTGTCCCTTGTAGCTACCTGCCTTATATCAGAAGATGTAGTACATCAAGGTCTCCCAACAGTTATCTGTAGAGGTAGAAGAAGAAAAGAAGAGATTGGATTTATACCCAACCTTTCACTACCCAAAGGAGTCTCAGAGCGGCTTACAAACTCCTTACCCTACCCCTCCCCACAACAGACACCCTGTGAGGTAGGTGGGGCTGAGAGAGCTCTGATGGAAACTGCTCTGTTTCAAGAACAGCTGTGCCAGAACTATGGCTTGCCCAAGGACATCCAACAGGTCAAGTGGAGGAGTGGAGAATCAAACCCGGTTCTCCCAGATTAGAGTCTGCACACTTAACCACTACACCTAAGTGGCTAGGTTCAAATGAGAGCAGACAGTCCTTTAGGCACCTTAGTCTCAGGCCATTAAGGGCTTAAAGAGTGATCACTAGCACTTTAAATTGGGCCCTGAAGTATTTTTATTTTAGTTCATTTATACCCTGCCTTTCTCCCCACTGGGGACCCAGTGGCTTACATCATTCTCCTATCTCTTTTTTTAAAAACTTTTTTATTGCTTTTATACTATATACTACCAACTCCACAGTACAAATTCTCCTCTCCACCATTTTTTCCTCACAACAACCCTGTGAGGTGAGGTAGGCTAGGCTGAGTATATCTGATTGGCCCAGGATCACCTGGCAAGCTTCCACAACAGAGTGGGGATTTGAACCTTGGCCTTCCAGATCCTGGACTGACACCCTTAATCATTACACCACACTGGCTATTGGAGAAAAGTAAATTGGGAACCGCTGTAGCTCTTTCAGTACTGGTGAGATGCATTCTCCAGAACAAATCAGTCTTCTGGGTGCATGTTATGCAAATAGCAGCTTCTAAATCATCTTCAAAGGCAGACCAACATGATCTAACCAAGATGTGATTAGAGTATGAATGACTGTAGCCGGGTCATGCCTCTTGAGGAAAAGGCCACAGCTGATAAGCCAACCAAAACTGACTAAAAGTGCTCGGGACTGCAGAGGCTCCATCATTAGAACCAAATATAATGGCATCCCAGGCAGTGTTCCCTCTAAGCTGAGTTAGTGTGAGCTAGCTCACAGTTTTTTAGCCTCCGGCTCACACATTTTTTGTCTTAGCTCGGGAAGGATGGCTCCAGAGCAAACTAATTTATGCAGCAGCCAATTCGCTTGCTTACAATTTTAATGCCAGTAGCTCACCAAGTAGATTTTTTGCTCACAAGACCTCACAGCTTAGAGGGAGCATTGATCCCAGGGTATCTCTCAGTGCATGATCTGTAGCTCTTGTTTTGATGTTTACAAACTTGGTATCCTAGTACTAATGTGGTAGCTGTTGCTTGTTCTCACCTTTTAACTACATAATGAGAATTAAGCAATACATGACTGCCCAAGATTATCAAATGGCCAGTGCTATTCCTTATTTTCAGGGTGTGAAAATGATACTTTAATCCTTGGAAGAGAGGATTATATCTAGAGGCTGACAGCTTATGACATCCAGAATATGACATAGGTATCCACATCTGCACCTTAATTGAGTCCTAAAATGAACTTCAAATTCTTTACTGACTTTTTATAGAACATCTTAATTGGTTAGGATTCATATCCATGAGTTAAAAGGTTTTCATTAATTAAGGGCTGTAGAGAACTGGTTGGTGGGCAAAAACATTGTACAGTGAATTTCATGCATTTTGAAACAGCAGAATGTATCAGACATGCTTAATAAAATAAATAATTAACTTAAACTCTACACTTGTCTCAGTTTGAGGAATTGATTCTTTGTTAGATGTATAAAAGAAGAAACAATGCAAGTTTTTACTCCCCTCCCATGGTGTTTTTATATATATATATTCTCCTCCCCCCCCCCCGGTCAGGAAAGTGATTGAGGTGGGAGAGGGGGGAGGCAAGATAACTTTGTTCTGCAAGTGGAAATCTTTCTGCCTGCAGAACAACTATGAGAAATCTAAGCCTTACTCACCATCCCCAACTGAAATGAAACCTGTGTAACTGCATAATGTTGATTTATATTTAGATACTAAGCTTGAAGCATGGATCCATAATTTGCTTATGTCACTTTGTAAAATACTGATAATAAATAGCTATTTCTCCTTCATTTATCCTCTGGATTTTTATTATATTGTCCTGTTAACAAAGTGTTCTTTTTATGAATTTGGATGGTGCAAGCTGTGCTTGACTGCTGAATTCACTCCTATAAGTAGCCTCTAGCAGCATGGCCATGCTCCAAGTGTGTTCTAGGTAGGCAAACTTGCCTGAGTCCAGTCTGTAGTTCAGTAGTTCTGAAGGCTGAAGATGTTACTGAGTGAATTATAAAATTCAGTTGCTGTATTACTATGTCTATACATTTACACTGCAGCATGCATCATAGCTGTATTTCATTTTAATTTTGCACATTGATCTGATTGGTACAACTGAATTGATAATTCATCAAATTTAATTATTAGTATTAAATCTTCAAACTATTGTTTCTATTGAGAGAGCCAAAAAGTAAGACCCATTTTAGGCTATTCTACTTTAAATAATGTAGGCAAAATTTGTATTTACATTTTGAGGCAGTCTTCCTTAAAGATCAGATTATTTATTGTAGCATAAAACATTGTTAAATGATCTTGGCTGCATATGTAAAGCTTGTCATTTGAGTAAAAAAAATTACTTTCAGTATTTGCATTTGTTTTCTTTTGATACTGCGGTAGTTCCTCTTAGTGTATTTGTATAATGTGCACTAGTCCTGTGTAAAATCAGTAATGTTTCTTTCAATGGAACATCCACTGACTTTCATTTAGTAATGAGTTTTCCACATTATTTTAAAATGTGCAGAGTTAGACTGTGTTTACACTAGGGAAATACAGCTCTTAAAGTTTTCTAACCAACTAAATTGACTTAAAACAGCAAGTTAGCAATTTCAGATAGTATTCTGAAATAGATTCTGATGTCTGCAAAAATAATTTACATTATTGATTCTCTGCTGTACCTTATAACTGAGGTAGCCAATGGCAAATGTTGTCAAAATGGGATTAGATGTCTGTAACTTAATACTTAAGAAAAATGATGAGTGCATGTTTTTGACTATGAGTATTCTTTTATGCTGCTTGGCTTTAAGACAAACTGATGTAAAAATAAATGACTGCCTGCATAATTTATGTAATGTCTTGCTCCCTGATCCTGTTTGTATTGATTTTTCTAAAAGGCTTTTGTGGCCACAGGAACCAATCTGTCTCTCCAGTTTTTTCCGGCCAGCTGGCAGGGGGAGCAGCGGCAGACACCAACCCGAGAGTATGTTGACTTTGAAAGAGAGGGAGGCAAGGTAAGGATGCAAAAGTTGAGATTGTAGTTTTCCAGAGGCCTTAAGATATGAACTGAAGGTTATAACACAGAACTTTAATGATTCTGCTACAGACCTGTTTAATATGTATATGCTATAGATCACTATATTCTTTATTTTTTATGGTGATGGCTTCCTGTTACTTGTTTAATTTGTGCACAAGGTAGATCATGCTATCAGTTTTGTGTAAATGTAGCAGCAGCCTTGTGGCTCTTAAATGGTTTCTGCAAAACTGCAAGATAATTTAGGGGAGGGGAGAATATTTAGCCATGTGTGTAAGAAATTTACCTTGAAGCATATAGGGAAGCCAGCACTTGCTGGGGACTTTTGAGACATCACCAAGCACCAATAGATCATCAGTGCAGGGACATCTAATTGGAGTACTGTCCAAGACTGCTGTATATCTTTTAGAAATAGTGAATAGCTCAGATTTTCTGCTTAACATTCTTTTGAAGTCCTGCATTGGCTGTTCCAGCCACAACACTACAGATAAGTGACTATAAATAAAAAATAATCTGTTTGAAAGTTCAGTACTAGGGCATTCTTACTGGGGCCTTTGAGTTCAAAACAAAAAGGAGCTGGGAAATGGGCACAAATGTTTTTATCAGCAACCTTTTTTATAGGGCTTTAGTTGACACCTCATATTTAAGGTAAAAATTATTTTGAATGAAAATCAGCAATCATTTTCTTCTTAATATTACTGTTTGCTGAACAGAGATAAATTACCAAGTACTATCACGTGGACATTTTCCTATCTTGGGATGGACAGAGGTGTTGAGTATTCGGGAAAAGAAATATAATGAACTTCTAAAGGTAGCTGAGACCTATTTACTATTATCTAGAAAGTGCAGATCCCTAAGATCATATGGCACATGTATAAGAAGGAAAGAGAAAATACACTTGTAGAAAAGAGAAAATACACTGTCATGGATGAAAATCACACAAGTGTCTATTAATGGTTTTTTGTGTTAAGGAAATGTTACCAGTTATCATACACTGAGATATACTTCCAAGTTAACAGTTTTTTGCACAACCACATACGAAAAACGTTTTGTGAAGATGAACACAACAGAAGTTTTGTATCTTTCCATTCATGGGAAAAGTACCAATCTTGTAGCTTCTATACTGAGTTTGTTATATCCAGTTTTGGCTGCAATTATTAAATTTATACCTGTTGGAGATTTTGGCACAGTTACTTTTTCTAAGTGAACTTCTTGTTGAATCGGGATTTAGATCTACTTTGAAAAGTTGTTCTATTAGTGTATATCACATGGTAGTGAGCTTAAAATGAAAGATTCTATCCTGCCTTTTAGTGATTTGGGTAGAAGGAAAAGGTAAATATAATCTCTCATCAGCTGTGACCTTGAGTTTTTAAATATCTGAATTATCTGATATTATGTTTTCTCTAATCCCAGAATTTTATGTTGATATATTTATGTTTCATAAAGATATCCAAATTACTTTACAAATCACTTTACACCAAGCTTTGCCTAAAATGAATAGTAAGAGTAGCAAATGGTTTAGGTAAAATTCATGAAACGCTTCCATTCTGCCAAGGAGGGAGCCTTATTCTGGTGCGAGAGGCATGTTCCTGTGGAAGAAAGTTCCTTTGCACTAGTGGTAGTTTCCACCATTAGTGCAATGGAACTTTTAGATCCCACCCATGGAGTTTGTACACATGCCTAGTTTAATATTTTCCATCAGTGGATGAAAATAAGCTTTATTGCTTCTATTTCAAGATACAGTATTGAAATCTAGGGGTAGAAAAATAGTTGTGTTGATGTTGAACACCTCTTATTGTTATTGACTGAATGTATAGCTGAGTAACAGATTTTTGAAGTGGGCAGCTGTCCTGAATGTTCTGATACAGTATCTGTTCTTACTTTCAGTGCTGTTTCAATATGAATAGTTCAGTTCTACAACAGATGCTTTCATAGTTCACTGAGTACTTATTTGCTATGTTTGTCAAGTCTCTAAACCTAATAGTTTCCATATCATAGTACAGAAATTTGGAGAAGGGGGCAGGGTGATATATGATGAACTAGCCTGTGGCAAAGAAATGTGATTACGATGACCTTCTAAAATATATATTAGTGGCTAAATAAAGACAGCATTTTTTGTCACTGATGGCTGCTGGCTCGTGTATGGAGTAGACTATAATTACTGTAGGTAGCTAATCAGAGAAGCCTTGCTATGCTGTTAGATTTACCCCTATAGAACTGGGAGACAAACAGCCCTCCTTCCTATTGCCACTAAGCAAATAATGCCATCATGAAACTTTTTAAAAAAGTAAGATGTCACCTACATCTACAGTTGCATGCTTAGCTTTCTGGAATATTATACAACATTTGACCATGGTCAGTTGACCAATGATTCAATTGTTAACCAATTCTAAATGATCCTGAGGAGCTACTCTGGCTTGAGTGAGAGCTGCCCTATTTGAGAAAGGCAGAGTAGCAAGAAAACCTTTCTCAGTCAATTATCTTTTTATGGTGTTGAATTGTTTGATGTCTACAGATAGTGCCACTAGAGTGAATAGGGAAAGACTGAATGCACAGATTAATATTGAAGGTGGGTAATAGATATCATAGAATATTTTGTTTTTGAACTCAGAGGAAAATAATTTCAGTGATACATCATTATTGTTGCCATCAAAAGAGTACAGAAATGCATCAAATGCTGGAGATAGATATTTAGGAATAGATTTATTATTATAAGAAGAGATTGGATTTATACCCCGCCCTTCACTCGGAGTCTCAGAGTGGTTTACAAACTCCTTTCCCTTCCCCTCCCCACAACAGACACCCTGTGAGGTAGGTGGGGCTAAGAGAGCTCTTTCCAGAACTATGGCTTGCCCAAGGTCATCCAGCAGCAGCAAATGGAGGAGTGGGGAATCAAACAGGTTCTCCCAGATTAGAGTCTGCGCACTTAGCCACAACACCAAACTGGCTTATAATATTGCCAAACACATGTATGTGCTTAAATATATTTTTATTTCAGAGATAAGAATGTGGCATGTAATCTTTAGCAATAAATTTGCAATTAAACAATTAGAAGCAGTTTTTGATAGGTACAAGGCTAACATTTCCTTTAAAACATAATTATGTAAAAATCACTTCATACTTAATAGCATTTGATAGATGGAAGCAAAATCCCAATGGAATGTTTAAATTACCTTCCTTGTTTCATCTGTTTGATACCCATCACCTTAAGGACCTTTACAAATATGGAAAGAAAACACTTTATTTTGAAACGTTACCCTAGGACCTGGAGATTTTTTCCATATTTAATACTTCCCACAAGAAGGTTTTTGACTGCTGAAATATTACATATTTCAGACAGTTCCTAATTTCTTTGTTGCAGAGCTTGTCAAGACAACAGAAATGTACTGATAGGAGAGTGCAGAGCTTCTACCAGGCTCAAGACCTAGTTTAGATTTCTCCTTTTTTTCGAACCCAGTGTTTTTGGTAGTGGTAGAGTGAAGGATCAAAAACGCTGCTTCAGAATTGGGCATGCATTTCAGCACTTTTTATTCCCAGTATTTAGTGTTTGTAGGTACTTGAGATATTCCATACATTATGTTCTATTTTTCCCTTCAGTTGGTCTGCACAGTGACCCAAACTATCCCTATTTATATGAATTAACTGAAGCTTTGCCAGAGAGTACTGCCCTTGAGCTTGATGTTGTATAACAAAATACACTTCTAGCCCCTAAACCATTTTAGGGAACATAGTAGGTTGTTGTTGTTGGTCCTCCATCAGAAATATTCAGTTAGTTAGCTGATATGTGTCTAGTTTGTTCACATGAGTGATGTTGGGTTGGCATGCTCCATGTGCAGCTTGTATACCAGACTTCCTACAGTGGGCACAGGAGTTCTAGGTGAAAAGGTTCCTTTCCTGTCTTGTGTAACAATTCTGTTTTACTGATTGAATTATGTAGACATGGCATTAGGAATAGGTATCATATTGTTTGGCTTATACACCCAGAGGTATTAAAAGAGCATTCGGCCAGATGTAGTTGGAATGGATGAGGACAAGAGGAGATATTATCTTTTTTTTTTCCCTCTTAAGAGAAGTGAGACATAGCCCCTTGCTTGGGAGTTTAACTCCCTCCTTCATTGTGTTTGACTAGCTGGCTGCTGAAGGTAAATCAGGTATCCTGTTTCATTTCCTTATTCTTCTGTGTTTCTAGTTACTTGCTGGCAGAACTTGCTTGTTTTTGTATGCCATCTCACTGGTTTCTGATGAATACACAGAGCAAAGGCTCAAGCAGTTTCATGAGGCTTCTGCAATAGCCAAGAAGGAGCCCATCAGTACAGACAGGCTCACATAAGCACTCTAGGAAAATGTAGCATTATCTGCCTCCTTTTTAAAAACTTTAATTTTTTGTGGCATACAGAAGGTTGTTTTGGGGCTGAGTTTTAACACACTCTTACCTTAAATTGTAATACATAAATACTCTAGGAAAGCTACATGTACACTTGTCCCCCACCCAGTAAATATAATTCTGCCATCTTGCTGGATGCATGGTGTTACTTTGAAGTATGTGCACTTAATACATCATATATTTGTGGTTTCCAGACACAGGCATATTTTACTCATGGATGTTTCAGCATTATTTTAAAATTGTTGGCAGACTTCTGGACCAGTGTTAACATTGTGGCTGCTTTTGTCATCAGATGCTAAACGTCAGAACGTGATGCGCATAGCAGGCCCTGCTAATTCCCCATGGCCTCTTAGGACTCCCAACTTAGAAGTTGTAGTTCTAATTCCCTTTGCTATGGTTGCAGTAAGGCCAACTGAGAACTGTAACTCCCTAGGTGAAATGCATCAAAAGTGGAGGTGTAAGAATGGAGGAGCTGGTGGAATGGGCCATTAGGACATCAAGGCAGCTTCCCCAGTGGCCAATGGGAGGGTAGGTGGGTCGTTGCCAACACGGCTTGGCTTTTATATATTATAGATATGTTGATCCTTAAAGCAAAG